CCCCGATCGAGACAAATATTCAGATATTCATCATTAATTGGGCCTGAACATCCAGAGAGCAGAAAGTTCTACTGGGACCAGCCCTACTAGTTATTATAACAACTATGAACAATAATGAACAACTAATGAGCCTTCCAGCATCAAGCCCTCCTCGTATCTGGACCTCCGTCTGGACAATCCGACATAGAAGAAGGTTTTACATTCAGTGTCGGAGCAGGAGGACCGAGTGTCTGGACAGCCAGCAGGAGGACCGTTTTTAATCCACTGTGTGTAACGATGGTCATTCTGCTGTAGGAGGAAGATGCTCTGGCTTGTTTGCACGTCTTCTGGACCGGTACCACTGGGTGGGGCGAAGCGACGGATGCAGCTCATGCCTCAGCTCGTTATTTTTGACCTCTAGAGTTCTTCTAATCAGCCTCTGAAACTGATTTTGCTGACTCACGTTTATGCTTTGCTGTAGAATGTGGTAGTGATCCGTCCTTGCCTCGGTTATTTGCAGATGTGACAGACGAAGCCCCGCCAGGTTCTTGTGCACACATCGCCTTACACTGTTTGATTTCAATAATGAGAAGCAAGGCAGGCAGCGGGCCGTCATCTGTGTGCACAAGAACCTGTGAGCTCGCCTGGCTTCCTTACAGGCCACAGAGGGATGAGCAGTGAGTACATCTGATTAGCTGTATCGACTGGTAAAATGCAACCACACTGGGTTTCCGCTCATAAAGCCCAGCAACATAGTAATTAGCCTGGGATCGATGTGAGCGTCCAGCAGCTCGCCACAGACACACAGTCTGACTGGGATTGCTCCATCAGCCGGCAAACAGGCAGCGCTTTGAGAAAAGGGTTAAAGGTCCAGGTGTTATTGAACATGAGGGGCATTACTGTCACATTAGCGCTTTCATGTTTTTATCTGCTCACATTCTGCCAGATGAGTGAGATGAAAGAGATTCTGTGGAGATAAATCACCTCCGTGTGTCTGTTAATCTCGCTTTTCTCCGCCCGGTGGCCTCGGCTCTGGATTGGATTTGTCAGCGGCGCTCTTTGCCGTCCTGACTGATGGAACTTGTAGCTAATCACATGTTTGCGTTATCGCACACAAACACTCACTTGCTGGCTGGAGCTCTGTTCATGTCTAAACACAGACCTGCTGCTTGTCTTCCTAATCTGGACCATCTCTAGTCCAGCTGGTGGACTGAGCTCACCAGACACCTGTGTCGTTTACGTCAGCGGGGCTCGTGTCACGATAGCCTCCAGATTAGACCAGCTCATCAGTGAGGGGCTGAGAATGAGGTGTCGATGCTGGCTGAAGACATGTGAGGCTGGAGGTGAACGACTGGCTTCTCCCTCTGCCTCCAGTAACTCCTGACATCTGCCTTTTGAATATAAGATGACAGCTAATGGCATCAATACGTAGGGGTGGGAGATACGGCTAGAAGATCAGATAGTGATGTTTTGGGTTTTATTCATGATCCACGATTCGATTCACAAAGAATCTGATCAAGTGATTAGTTGTGTAAATGGGCACAAGGCCTGTCACTGCAACTCAAGCCTGAAGGTCCGACTCACAAATCTCCTCACGGCAAATTCATTCTGAAGCTTCTGACCGAGGTGACCAGTCCTATCTCCACTTGTTGACTTCCCTACCCTATAAGACTTGTGGATAATCGGTATTGATGCCACAGAGCTCCTATCAGAGAGCACAGAGTCACCAAGTAGTGCTGAGGCAAAGCAGAACACCAGGAACCAGAAACATGTCTGAAACACAGGAGGAACCTCTGACTGGTGACTGAGATGGAGTTACAGGAGTGTTTGCTGACCGCCGTAAAGCTCCATGAACCCAGAGCGCCTGGTAACTAGCTGTGTGTGTCGGGTTTAGTGTAGTGGTGTGGGAGGCTCGTACCACTGGGAGGAGCTTCATACCATTACAGGTTATTTACTAGCAGGCAGCCAATCAGACGACAGGCACGTCTGTGTTGGCAAAGACAAAGAACTACAGGAATGTTCATAGGCAAATTGTTAAATGAGTTCAATTTTGGTTTTTTTATTTCAGTCCTGTTTTGTTGGAACTTGAAACATGCTGAGGTTAATTGGTGATTGTAAATTGTCCGTAGGTGTGAATGTGAGTGTGCTTGGTTGTCTGTCTCTAAGTGTAGCCCTGTGATAGACTGGTTACCTGTCCAGGTGAACCTGCCTTCACCCTGAGTCAGCTGGGATAGGCTCCGCCCCCCATGACCCTCGGTAGGATGAAGGTGTAGAGATGATGGATGCTATCTGCTGCAGTTTGTGTCTCAGTGGTGGAGCTTTGTTCTGACCTGTGCCTGCTGTTCTCCAGGTGCCCACGGAGTGCGAGAGGAGCCTCAGTTTGTGACGGCACGTGCAGGAGAGAACGTCATCCTGGGATGCGACGTGTCCCACCCCCTGAACGGCCAGCCCTACGTGGTGGAGTGGTTCAAGTATGGAATGCCCATCCCCTTTTTCATCAACTTTCGCTTCTACCCTCCTCACGTGGACCCAGAATATGCCGGTAAGATGTGAATACACTCACTTTAACATGCTAAACTCCAGCAAAAGAGTAATATTGGGTAAATAATGTAGAGCTGCTCGCGCTCTGCCACAGTCTGCAGGATTTATCCTCCTACAGGCTGCAGTGTGACGAGTTCATGGACCTCCAGCTCTGGTTGGATATTAAACTGTTAGAGCACAGCGTGATCAGTCCTTCTTTCTGCATCATCCACTGCGTTGTATTGACACTTATTTCCTTTGTTTACTCCATATTACTCTTTTTTTTAATTAACTGATTTGAAAAAAATTATTTAAAATTTCACATTCTGTCATTTAATTTTCCATGTTGTAGGTTTTTGCTGTTTTGTCAGTAACTGTATTGAGATATTTATAATGTCCTGTCAGTCATCATGTTGGTCACCTGACACCATGAACGCATCATGAACTGTACTGACTGAAGAACCCGTTTGGGAATGCAGCTGGATCAGCTACTACGACACGTCTACCAGAACCAGAACAAACAGCTAGTCTTGATCAGTGGTTCCCCTCCACTGGCTGTGGACCAGTACCGGGCCGTGGGTCATCTGGCTGCACAGAAAGAATAAAAACGTTTTATTGGTTTCTTTTATTTCCGGTGGAGTCTGCAGGGTGTTTTATTTTGAAAAATGGCTCGCTCGTCTCTCGTCACTTCTGCTTGTTTCCTGCTCTTGGAGTTTAAACGAGGCGTCAGTCTGGATCAGAAACTGGCTTCTCTGGAGGGACAGAATCTGTGCTGAGATGAGAAAAGTAAAAACACATTAACAAAAAGTCATTGTATTAGTTTAAGACACTTTTAATAGAAAAAAACGATCGTTATTTGTTATGGTCTGTAGAAAACTGTCTTGCTTGGAACCGGTCCGTGGTGCAAGAAAGATTGTGGACTGCTGGTCTAGTTTTGGGCTGCAGGTGGTTCAGTGGTTAGCACCGTGGCCTCACAGCTAGAAGGTCGCCGGTTGGCGTCCCGGTGAGGACACCCGGGATCTTCCTGCGTGGAGTCTCCATGTTCTCCCCGTGCAGCGTGGGTTCTCTCCGGGTTCTCCGGCTATAGATGGATGGTTTGTATCTGATGCATTTCATTGAAACTACTGAGCACAGTGTAGCCCTGTGATAGACTGGTTACCTGTCCAGGTGAACCTGCCTTCACCCTGAGTCAGCTGGAATAGGCTCCGCCCCCCATGACCCTAGTGAGGATAAAGGTGTAGAGATGATGGATGGATTGTCTAGTTTCATTCACAGCACGAAAGCCATGACACAAGTCAGTTTTGTTCCTGTGGTAAAGGAACCTATGACGATGTTGGAGATGATCCATCACACTGATTTATCATCACGACCACTGACAAAGTCAATGTTCCAGTAAACCCAAACTGCAGAGAGATTGTCAGTAAAAATCTAAACTCTAGTGACAGGCCTTCTTCTGTGCTATGTACAGGATGAATACGACCATCTTTACAGGCATCAGTTTAAAGCAGATGAAGCTTCAGGCCTGTGGAGGGATGAGGAACCCGTGACCTTCCTCACAGCAACACACACAACAAACAGAAATCTCATGTCCGTCCTCCGTTTTAAAGTTTTCCATTTAATTGGCACTCAGCATCGTCTGAACCCTGACCTGTTAGTGAGCAGCACCAGCTGATGGTCTGGACAGAGCAGCTCATGCTGGTCCTACAGCTGTAGTGGATGGAGACAGACGTTAGCATTCACGCTTACAAAGCTGATAGAAACTTGGTTTAAATGTGCGCCATAGAAACCAGCTACTGGCTCTGGTGATGCTGACTGGTTCTGCAGTTTAAAACTGTTCATCTGTTGTGCAGTACTTCATGACAGCGGTGCTGTCCAGGTGGAGCATGTCCGTCCAGAACACCAGCACGCTGATGTTAAATGCTATTAAATGCAGTAAAGCTTCACAGAACCGCGATCAATGCTCCCGAGTAGGTTTTATAGCAATCTCTTGTGCCTGCAATCTAATATCTACAAGTTTCTCCAATATCCTGTTCAAAGCAACTGCCAGCTACTGTCCAGATTGTGTACAGTTAAATATTTAATAGTGACGATGCATCGCCAACATTTAAATATGTTCAGAATCAACTCTAATGAGGAAAGAACTGCTCTCAGCATGTAGATATGAATCTGCAGGTGTGTTTGACTGACCACAGTGTGCATCAGCTACAGGAAGAGCTTTCTCTTCTCAGTGTCCTTTACTCTGCGTATCCAGCCTCCTGCAGCAGCAAGAAAAATAGTCTGACACACCACAAGATTGTGGCAAAAAATCCAGAGCTGCGTGTAATCTTTCTGTATCCTCACACACTTTGTCTTCATTGATTAGATCACTGAGGACTGCTGATGTGGGGAGGTACGGCTAGACCTACACAATCCTGTGCACTATAAACAGAGCAGGAGGTTCTGAATGTAGCCCAGAGTGGCCGAGGACAGCAGCAGGTCACAGAACCAGAGCCATGAACAAAGAAATCTAACAAACAGCAAACAGCCTGGAACCCTCCAGCAGCTGACGCCATGTTTTAGTCGACTTCTGTTCATTTACTTCCATCATTCAAGAAGCTTCTCACTCAGCTAGCAGCTACATCCAGCCAGCCGGTTCTGTGAGACCCACCTCTGCCTGGTCTACAAACAGACTACGGACCTCTGAGATGTCTGGAGCTCTGTGGGCGGATGTGGGCTGACAGACCTTCCCACTGTGCTTCAGTCACAGCATTAGAATACATGATGGAAGTCGCAGGTCGAGGCTCTGCTGCTGACGTACACAGAGGTTCACATTGTGCCCTTTTTAGATCGTGGTGGTGTCGGGGGTTAATGAGTGGAGCCGACCACAGAGGCTCTGTTTCCCAGACTCCTCTCTGCCCTGGACTCAAACAAGTCATTGTCTCGATTCTTTACACAACGGAAGAGGAAGAAACCATCAGCGAGTAGATGAGCGCTGATAGCCAGCCAGTAGAAACTGAACATTATGTATGGACAGTGAGAAATGAAGAAACAGAAGGAAGTGATCCAAGACTCCATTGTTGGATGTCTGCTATCATCATGGAGGATCTCCAAGCTGGTCCACCACGGATAGACTCGTCTGAACGTCTGGTTCTGGTGCACATTTCCTCGTAAACGACGCTTTGCTCTTCCTCTGTCAACATCCTGCACAATGTTTAAGCCTCGTATTCAAATCTGTTTGGAGATTTACTTTCTGGTGAAACAAACAAATCGACAACAAGATTCATGGTTAAAGGGCGCAACCCGTTCAACCCCGCAGCCCGCGGTGCCGGTCTGCCGTCTGCGCCGACTTCCTGTTACGTTCATTTAGATTGTCTATCAGCGGGAACCCCCACATGTGAACACACGATTCAGTCATTAAATAAATTATCCAAATAGTAGTAATAGTAATAATAATAATAATAATAATAATAATAATAATAATGGGAGCATACCGGGTTCTCTCCAGCGTCATAACAGAGTAACGACCCGTTACGCTGCTGCCTGAGAAAGTTCTGCTGCTAATTGGGCCGATACGCTGTTTTTGAGGGTATGTAACGGGAAAATATTCACCAACAAGCGCTGATGGAGGTTCACTGCGGTCGTCTTTGCTGCTAACGCTGCTGTTCGTTAGCGTATTCGCCGCTACCCGTTAGCAGCATTCGCTAAGACGACCCGCCCACCCGGTACACTGCATCTCTGGCATACAGGCAGATGTTCCTCATAATTAAAGCCAAAGTTACTGAGTGTTGAAAGGGTTAAAAGGAACAGTTGTCACCTTAGAACTGTTCTAGAAATTTTAGAATAAACACTTGTTTGTGTTTTGGTGGAGAGTTAGAGGAAAAGATGAAGACTGCGTCTTTGTCTGTTGTTATAAGAACCCAACCAGGCAGGATTAGCGTAGCTTAGCACAAAGACCAGCGGTGAGAAATCAGGAAGTGCGGTCCTGTCTGAAGAGCACAGGATGTGTCCTGCAGCAGCTCTGACTCATGAGCGTGTTACGTCCTCGTTGTTTAACGTGGCTCAGAGTGGACAGGAGGCTTCGAGCTGGACTGTCTGTTGGTTAGAAGACTTTGTCAGTCATCCAGGGTTTGTTGTCTTCTCAGGACGTTTCTACACTCCTTTGGCTCGCTGTGTGCACGGCCGATAGGAGCAAACACACTTCTCTTTGTCCTACAGTAGGTCCACACCGGACTGAGCAGACAGTCGCATCGCCTCTCCCATTCCCCGTCTGTGTAAAACACCCTGCATTGCATTTTGGTAGCGTTTCAGGAGGCGGGGCCTCGCGTTGCCGGCTCCTCATTTACATATGCAAATAAGGAGCATAACTTTGGTGAAACTTTTAAGCCAGCTGTCTAATTCAAGCTGAGGACAGATTCAGCAACTGCATAGATGATTTATTGCCTCAGATGTGTTCAGACACATTTTGCTTAACTTCTTCTTTTTTTTTTGAACTGTTTAAATTTCAATCGTCCAATCAGATGCAGCCAATGTATGTATGGCAGCAGAGGCTGAATCCTGTGTTGGTTTCTGTCAGTTATCTGTCTGAGCTGTGTGCCGTCGGGAAGCGTGGAAACTGGGCTGTACCAGAGTGTCAGTAGATATTCCTGAGGGGTGTAAAGCACAGCTGGCAGACACAGCACAAGGTTTCTGGAGAACTTAGAACCTCCCACCGTGTTTTGGACTTTGCTGATGAACCGCGTGTCCAAAGCCAGGATCTCTATGAATGATGAACTAGAGAGGAGTGTGAATGGTGGTGCTGGTAGTGTGAACAGTCTGCTGTACCACTGATCACTGGACCTGTAGAGGGCATTTAGGTGGACGATGAAATTTACGTCACACGTGGCCTAAAGGACGCAGACACAGAAAGCAACTATTGAACTGAAAGTATAATTCTCTGTGAGACAAACAGCAGACTGACGGGAAAACGGGTTGAAATAAACTGGAACGGAGTTTAAAGTCTGCATTCTTACTTTAATGGACAGATGTAGTGTTTACCAAGAACCC